ACCTGTCCATCTTCAAAAAGCTCTGGCCTTTTATCAGAAGAATGATGCTAAAGGTTACAGGGAATAAAGCTACACTAAGGAACGCAGTATCCAAGGAGAGGCCTGGATATTCTACTCTGAGCCTCTTCTTCTACTGAAGGATTATGCAGGTTAAGTTTGATAATCCTTCCATGAGTTTTTTAAACACAGGAGGGAAGGGTTCTTGCTGTTGATTGGGTATCATTCCCAGAAATATAGAAGGATCCCTATAAGACAAGAAATAGGGCAAGAAAAAGGGGCCCTTGTATGGGATAAGGGTACATTCTTGCACCAACCTTTATCCCCCAACAAGCCAGCCAAGCCTTGGGTATACCACTATACACCACTGAGAGCACCACTGGTTCATGTCCCCCATCTCCCATCTCTTCCCCATGAGTCTGAATAAAGAAGTCCAGACTCTCTGCCCTCAAAACTTCCTTTGACTGGGAAACAACTGTTAATGTTACTCATTCTTGCTAAGGCCTGTCAGACGCATGATGAGCTTACAGAGCCCTGAACCTAAAAGAGGTTGGCTCCAGCTGTCGGAAGTTCTGAAATAAATGTTTCTATGGCATGGGGTGAGAAAAGGAAAGAGAAGCTAGAGATCAACAGAACAATACTTTATAGTTGTAACATACAAAGCTCTTCATGTATATGACCTCTTAGAAATAGTTCTTCAACAGACAATGAAAGAAAATAAAGTATCTACAGACCCTGGCAGGATGGGAGTCCAGATATCCTGCCAGTCCCCTCAACCTAGAAGCCCACTTCATCCTTCTCCTCTCTCCACCTCCCCATACTCTCTCGACCTCCCCATACTCTCCCCACACCTCATGGTTGCTCTGGGTCTAGAATCCTGACTGCTAATGAAAGAGGGATGGTTTGAGCATCCTCCTAAGCAAAAGAAAATAAAACCACCTATTAAGTAGAGGAGAAGTAAAAAGATTCCATTCATTTTCCTACTTAACAGCCAAAAAGAGTCCTGCACTGTCACATCTGAGACCATTTTTCTCACCTATGGTGAGTGAGGAGTTTGCCAACCATGCAAAACAAACACTAAATAAATTATATTTATTAAGTATCATTTTAATAAAAAGTTACCTCCTTTAATGTCACTGATTTACCCTTTACAATGGCATCTCTGGCCCTATCAACCTGCATTCCTCCTCCCCCCACAACCACTCCTGGCTCCCTGTTCTCTCCAGATGGGACTCTGACTCACTGTAGACACAGGCAAGTGGAAAACCTGGCCCAAGAAACCTAGCTACACCTAGGTGAGGCTGCAGTGCCCGATGGCATAGCCTTCCACCCACATTGCCCAGGAAGTGCTCTGAGCTCTGCTGAGTTCAAGAGAGCAGGGATACTTATTCTCTGTCCCTTCAAGCAAGAGAACAGAGTGCTGCTGAAGTAGCTGAGAGGATTCCCTCCCACCTACACACCCACAATCACATTTACAAACTCTATCTTTTCTATGTAATTGCCTAAACACACAAAAAATATGGCCAGCTCAGTGTCAGAGGGTTTTCTAAGTCCCGAAGGGATTGATGGAAAGTAAAGACCCCATACAGCACACACCACAGTAAGCGTTCACACAATCAGAAGGACAAAAGGCAGGGAGCCGCCGGCTTGTAATACCTCTAAGGTTGTTGAGTCCCTCCAAGAACTTCTGGTACTTGTAAGCGTTCATGGCCGGGCCCAGCTGTGTTGGTTCAGTGGCTGGAAGCAGGCACCATGGCGCAGTGACAGCTGAGAAGTGAGAGTGTGCAAACCGACTGATCTCTCCTACAGCGTCTCCTAGCCCCCAAGAAGTGGACTTTGACCACATTTACAAGTGACGTCACCAGAGAAGCCTCATTACATTACAGCCCTTTGTGCACGCTCATTTGTTACAGTGAGCGGAAATACCTCCCCAGGAGAGGCCAGCCCCTCCTTTGTGCAAATGAGACAAGAGACCACAACAGCCCCGGCCGATCATCTGCCACCTCATCTGCCACCTTCTCTCTAGACCCCAGTCCAGGCTCCACTGGGATTACTGCTCCTCTGGTTTAAACTCTAGGGAGAGAGGCTTAAATGCTTTTCAGGACACCAGTTAAGGGCTCATCTAACATTTGAAATGAAACCTTTAAAGGGCCGCACTCACCGCAAGAATGCCACCACAACAGGAGCTCTTGGGCAAATATCACATGGCAACGGGACAGGTTTTACAAAATAAACAACTCTGCACTCTCCTTACAGCAGTCATGTTTACAGACTGGAATACAGCCACACACAGACAAGACACTGCACATCACACAGTCCAAGGCAAGGACAGGAGAGAAACAGAAACTGGTAAGCCCACTCCGGAAGTGCTAAAAGCACAGTTCAGGGGGGCAGGACCTTCTCCATAGATAACTAGGGAGAAAATGCAGCCAGCACAACACCCACTTGCTCCCCACTCCAGGGCACTATTCACTCAGCTGATTTGCATTAATGATTTCAGTAGCTGCTGTAAGTTTCATTCTACTCCACTGTGCCACACCTTTCCTTTAAAAACTGACAAAGTATGTTTGCTTTTATCATTTTTGAGGGCAAGAATATACTAGTTAGCTTAACCATAGTCTAAATCTAAATGTTTAATTCAAAGAATGCATTTTATATGGAAAATAAAATTTACTCTAGTTTGTGTATATAATTTTGTTATTGAAACTACCACTGAAAAAAAACAGAAATGACAGATGACAAATATTAAGAAAAATTATAGATTTCTATTTAATTTATAAGCAATTATATTTTTAGCTTACTTTGTTATACCTATACCTAAGTTTTCTTATGTTTCTAGCACCAGAATGTAAAATATGCATATACTTATTATATAATAATATAACATTTGTCATTAAAGTTATAGTTTAATATTAAAAATCTATTTTGGGAATTAAAACATTTTTTCCTTCTATTCCATTACCCACAGAGATGGCACCCAATCCCCACCCCCCAACAGGCTCATAGGATAAGCTAAGATTATAGCCAGAGGAAATTTCTATAGCATTTCTGTTGTAAGGAATTCAAAGTGGCTCACCTGATTATACTCATTTTTAAGAATATTTTTATAAAAATAACTGTAAATTTTCATTTACAGATAAGAAAATAGAGGTTAAGCAACCTGTCCAAAAGTCACACATCAAGTCAATGAGAAAACATGGAAAGAACCTGTTTCCCAAACTTGAGCTTTGTATTCTGGCTCATCTTACCTTGACATCCTAGAAAACCATGAGCAACCAACCCAGTCAGACTCCACTGATTAACAATCCCTCATAAGAGAGATAACCTCTCTCCAGGTCTGAAGTTTTTCAGAGCAACCTGCCATCCAGGCTGCTGTTCAGTGACTTGGGGTAGAACTCAGGGTGCAAAGTAAAACATTCCACAACACTCCCAATTACGCAGGGTAGATGCAGATGGACAAATTTATAACTAGCATTGTGAAAACAAAGAGAAAAGGGGGTATGCCCACTTGAAAAGATCAGAGTAAATAATATCAACAGCTGCTATGATAATGGAAAGGGGGAAAAGTACCAACAAGGTAGCCGGCCACTGTGTGAAGATCTGAGTATTAGAAGTTACAGTCAATACAGTACATAATTCCTTTTCTCAAAGAATAATTTAAAGGGCAAGATTAAAAGGTCAAAAGGGAGTTTAATGCTTACAGAGCACAAATTAGACAGTGTAATACAGTTTAGAAAATATATATAAATTCTACAATATATTACTGTGAGAAACACAGTATTTCTGAGGTCACCTAGTCCAAGAGACCAGGTACCTTGGAGCCATCTGGGAAAGAAGACTGTGGATGAGAAAGACAAACATTAAATAACAGTTCAGATCATGTGTGCCTGTTCCTGATGTTATTCCACTATTTCTCCAGAAGAGTATGGGTAATAGAGTGCAGTGGAAAAAACTTTGGTTGCAAGGTCAAGACACCGAGAGTCCAGAATCTATCTCAAGATCTAACTTTGCTACTAACTAGCTATGTGAGCAGGAGCCTGAAATTCCTATAAAAAATGCTAGTTCTTACCCCCCCCCCCTTTTTTTAGGTCACTAACTCCAGTGAGAATCTGATGAAAACTAAGGATGCTCTCCCAGAAAGAGGGACATATTCATCTGCCTACAAACTTTTGTTTACAAGTGGAGAAAGGTCAATGAACTACAGGCAAAGAACCTCTGAATTGATCTCTAAGATTCTTTGGTGTCCTGATCTGAAAGTAATTAATGTAGTGCAATCTATACTAATAAAAGGGTAATATGCTAATTAGACCAGGAGCCTTCCGGGCATCCTTCCAGACAAAGCCATGGTGGCGGGGCTGAGGCAAAGGTGGTTAGGGGCGATCAGGCCAGGAAGGGAAGGCAGTTGGGGGTGGTCAGGCTGGCAGGGGGTCA